AAAAAAAAAAAAAAAAAAAACCACAAAGGTATCTGCTGATGCTTATATTCCCTATGAATATAAGAATACTAAAAATAACAATGGTTGCTGACATTTTATAAGATTAGATAGAATAGCTTCTAAGTAAAGCTATGTATATTTTCTTTTAAACAGTTACTTACTTTGATATCCAGTTACTTGAAATTCCATGTGCAGCAAAAATAGTGAACTGGAGCTGTTCTGTTGTAGTCCAAGCTTCCTTTATGTTTCTGTTACTTTGAGCACAGTCTGCAGGACTCCTGCCAGAATTTGCATGGAGTCTGAGAAGATCATAAATTGCTGCAGTTAGTTGGTCCATGCTTACTTGAACAGGATTTCCAGGACTCAGTGAGCCTAGATATAAATAAAATATTAATATAATTCTCAAAAAAAGTAATGATTATTGCTAAAATTCAACGAATTTAAACACATACCCCTAGTTGAACTCTTGCTAGTGTCTCCTCCTCCAGACAATGAAGTCATCTGCATGCACACACACACACAGGTCAGAAAATTGTCCAGAACATTATATAAAATGTTTACCTGTATCTTTAATACATTTAACTAAATGCTATGTCAAAGAAACCCTTCCCAAGAGACACCTCCCAAGAGTCTGTAGAATAACAAAATAAAGAATACAAAAACAGGACACCCCAAAACAGACAATTTTTAGTATCAAGAAAATCAGAGTAAGTGAAAATTACAATATCAGAAACACAACAAAGTTGGCCTTATTAATTAATATTAATTAGAAGTCGAGAAGTATTAAGTATGCTACTATAGTATTTTATTTTCCATTAGTTGCTCTATAATAGCATAAGAATATCCTTAAAGAAAAAAAAGTCTGGAACTCTATTACCATTTGATGACTCAAAAAAGCTTCTATAATTATTCAAACTGAGCTCCCCTCCCACCTACTCTCTGCTCTTTTATCCAGCAAATGGTTAGAATAAATAGAAGCCTCAGACAACATTAGAACCATGGTAATCACCTACAAGTGATTTTGTATATTTAACTTTTAAAAAGAAGCATGAAATTAAAAAGCAGAAAGAAACCCAAATCCCCATATACCACAGGATCTCTGTGAGAATGAATGGATTGAGTTATCTCAATCCCTAGATATCAAGGGACACACCATCCCACATTAACTTTTCCATTTTTAAAATTTATCGTGGCTGGTGAGATCCACCTCTTCTTTCATCCCTCCTCAAAGACGTAAACATCCCTATGAACAGAGTTAATTAAATCCCCATGGAAATATCATGAGAGATAGCTTTTATTAAAATCAACAATATAACATAAAGAGAGGGCTCCTAACCTCACTGCTTCTGAGTCAATAAATTACTATTGTTGAGGCCTCTAGGTTTTTCAGCAGGGAGGGAGTATAATCCAAAGCAGAATTTCTGCCCATTGGCAATGAGACATGAAGTAACTGCTACTACCCTCACAATCCTCCAAGCTTGGTTTCTACCTTTAAACTCCCAACCAACTCATTATGATAGAGTTCCTCCTCTACACACAAGAGGTTCACAATTTGGCCCCACCTAATTCAATGTCCTCTCTCATTAAGCAGCCTATCTCCTTATCAAGGAATTCCCACCTAAACAAATAAGTGACTGAATCAACTAAAAATTAAAAGCCAAAGTTAAAATGCTAATATTTTGTCTAGCAGAAGGCAAAAATCTCCGAGTTTAGATGTTTGCTCAAGTACATATTTGTATATGACAAAATGCTAATAACCAAAAATACTCACATCAGCAGTTTTACTCCTTGGAAGATTAACGGCTCTCTTTAGCTTCTTTACTGATTCTGTAATGGCAAGAGTTTCTACACCATCTAAAGCACTACAGATTTTTCTGACAGCTTTAATTACTTGGTCTACTGCTCGGTGTTGGTTCTTTAAAAATAAAAAGTAAAATAAACAGAAATAAGTGAAATTTAAAGGCCCAGTTTCAGAGATGAAATAAAGAATTAGATAATTTTACATGTTTCTAACAAACATTTTCTACTCTTTTGTGATAAATGATGTACTAATTCATATGCAAACATCACCAATTTCTTGTTAGAACCAGAAGTATAAATAATAGTAATAAATTACTAAAACTAGAGCTATCTTTTTAATTCCCATTTGGAAATAATCTCCACATTAAAAATAATCCTCTTCCTCCTGCAAAAATCTAGTATCAAAAACTATCTTCCTAGCCAGGTGCAGTGACTCATGCCTGTAATCCTACCATTCTGGGAGCCTAAGGTGGGAGGACCCCTTGATCTTAGAGGAGTCTGAGATTAGCCCGAGCAAAAGTGAGACCCTGTGTCTACTAAAAATAGAAAAATTAACTGGGTATTGTGGCAAGTGCCTGCACCTGCAGTCACAGCTACTCAGGAGGCCAAGGCAGGAAGATTGCTCCAGCCCAAGAGTTTGAAGTTGCTGTGAGCTAGGCTGATGCTAGGGCTCTCTAGCCTGGGCAACAGCGTGAGACTGTGAGACTGTATGGGAAAAAAAAAACCACAAACCCATAACCCAACTTCTTCAGAGCTTACTCACAACATTAACTTTTAAGCATCATTGGCACCTACACAACCATAACTTCAGAAATTTTATCTGATCAAAACACTTCCTTGAAGACAATTCTTCTGTATCATGCATGCCATCACAGTTGGTTTCGCCATAATCCAAAGTATACATGTACAAATATAGGGTATTTGTATATTGTAAAACCCATATATTGTAAAACCACTTACTTGATGAGAAGAATTTAAAAATCTTTCTCTACTCTTAATGAGAAGTACACATCTCATTAAGAAACATTCATTCATAAAATATTTATAACAAACTTTTATGCCAAGTACTGTTAGAATGTGCTGAAACTCAGTAATGTACCATCCCTTAAAAATTTAAAATTTTCCACCTTTTGAGACCTGGCTAGCACATAGTGAATATTCTCTTCAACTTCAAGCTTAAATGAAACCACCTAATTTTCTACACACACTCCTTGGGGCCGACCATCTGTTTTCCTGTACCCCATTTTGCTTGCTTACTGTAATTAATATTTCTGCTCCCTTTTACTCTACTGTCAAACAAAAACCTCTCCAGTTTTGAGGCTCATGCCATTCTCCTACACTACTCTGTATCATTCTTTATGTGCCAGTTATCAATTTATTTATTATCAGTCCCAAATTCTACTGTTCTTTTGCCCTACTCTGTGATACCAGAATTAGACCATATAAACATTTCTCTTTGCCAGCTGGCATGATGTTAGGTTTTGCTGGTAGAACACACAGAAGGGGCGTTCTAATTCCGGAGCATTAGGAAGGTAACTTCCCATTTGGGTTTTGAGCCTGTTTTTAAAATTCAGTGTGAGAACTCAGCATTCCCCACAGACCAATTCTACTTACACTCTCAGGCCAGGCTTTTCTGACAGCCACAGGCAACCTGTGTGTTCCCATGAGAGCCATACCCTCTCCAGAGGCTAAATTTCACACTGGGGCTGGGAGAGAGGCCTTCTCATAAATTCTTAGAGTTCCTTCACTGTCCAGTTTTCCTTAGCCTCAAGATGATGGCTGCTTTTTTTGTATCTGCTATTCCCAGAACCCTTAAAGAAGGGTTGGCAAGTTTTTCTTTCAAAGGCCAGTTAGTTAGCTGGTTAACTAGATGTAAAGGACTAAAACTGGGTCCATGCCTCTCACCACTTACAAAAATCAACCATGATGGATAAGAGATTTAAATCTAAGATGTAAGACAATAAACATCTTAGAGAAAAGCATGTGAAAAACTCTAGATGATATCAGCCTGGGGAAATACTTTTTATTAACACTCCATCAGCAATTGCAAGAACAACAAAAATAAATAAATGAGACTTAAGCTGAAAAGCTTCTACACAGGTAAGGACATAACAATCAAAGCATATGGCTCGGCGCCTGTGGCTCAAGCGGCTAAGGTGCCAGCCACATACACCTAAGGTGGCGGGTTCAAATCCCCAGCCCTGGCCCGCCAAACAACAATGATGGCTACAACCAAAAAATGGCCAGGCGTTGTGGCGGGCGCCTGTGGTCCCAGCTACTTGGGAGGCTGAGGCAGGAGACTCGCTTGAGCCCAGGAGTTGGAGGTTGCTGTGAGCGTAATGCCATGGCACTCTACCCAGGGGGATAGCTTGAGGCTCCGTCTCAAAAAAAAAAAAAAAAAGAAAAACAATCAAAGCATATAGACAACCTTCATAATGGGAAAATATATTTGCATGTTATGAATTTGACAAAGGGCTAATAACTAGAATCTATAGAGACCTCAAACTAATCAACAAAAAAGTGCAACAGGCCCAGGCTGGGGTGCTTGTAATTCCAGCACTCTGGGAGGCTGAGGCAGGTGGATTGCGGAGCTTACAGGTTCAAGACCAACCTAAAAAAGAATGAGACCCCATCTCTAAAAATAGATGGGCACTGTGGTGGGCGCCTGTAGTTCCATCTACTCAGGAGGCTAAGGCAAGAGAATCACTTGAGCCCAAGAGTTTGAGGTTGCTGTGACACCACAGCACTCTACCAGAGGCAAGAAAGTAAGACTCTGTCTCCAAAAAAAAAGAGCAATCAATCACTTGGGTACACATCATGAATATAACCTTCTCTGAAGAAGACAGATGAATAACCAACAAACACAAAAAATTGCTCATCACTTACAAGTTCAAAACCAGCCTGAGCAAAAGCAAGACCCCATCTCCACCAAAAATAGAAAAACTGAGGCAAGAGGATACTTGAGCCCAAGATTTGGAGGTTGCTGCGAGCAACCTCAGCACTCTACCCAGGGCAACAGCTTGAGACTCTGTCTCAAAAAAAAAAAGAAAAAAAAAAAAAAAGCTCATCAGCCCTATCAGCAGAGAAATTCAAATCAAAACCACCCTGAGATATTATCTAACCCCAGGGAGACCAGCCCACATCACAAAATCTCAATCAAAGCTGCAGAATGCTGGTACAAGATTGAGAGAGAAGAGAACATTTTTACACGCTAGTGGGACTCCAAACTAATACAGCCTCTATGGAACAAGATATGGAGAATCTTCAAAGAGGTAAAAGTAGATTTTCCATTAGATTCCATAATCCCATTACTAGGTATCTACCCAGATGGAAAAAAAAAATTATCACAAGGACATCTGCACTAAAATTTTTACTGCAGCTCAATTTACAATTGCAAAGATGTGGAAGCAACCCGTACCCATCAACACACGAATGGATTAATAAACTGTGCTATATCATGGACTACTATTTGGCCATTAAAAAAAGATGGAGATTTTTCATCTTTAGTTTTTACCTGGATGGAGTTGAAACACATTCTCCTCAGTAAACTATCACAAGAATGAAAATGCAAGCATCCACTGTACTCAATATTAATATGAAATCAATAGAAAAACAACTACATGCCCACATTAGAGAAGGACACAAGTATATTCAAGTGGGGGGGAAGGGAGAGGAAGAAAAAGGAAAGGGGGACACTGGTAGCTCTCATCTAATGGGCACATTAGGGGCTCTCACCCCTAATGTAGGGGTATACAGCATTCCTCCTGGGTTGAGGGCTTAACCACAACTTGAACTTTACCTTAGGAACACAAACAATGTGGCCTGATCATTTGTACTCATATTAATCTGAATTTAAAAAAGTATTATTACCAGTCAGTAAATATTTTAGGCTTTGTGGGCCAGTCTCTGTCACAATTCAATTCTGCCATTAAGATGTGAAAACAGACAATAATAAGCAAATGACTATGGCTGTGGCCAAATAAAACTTTATTTGCAAAAAGAGAGAGCAGAGATGGTATTCAAACCAGTCTACCAAATCCTGCCTTAGAGTCCTCTTTCAACCCGTTGAGTAGTTAACCATCTTTTCCTAATAAACATGTCTTTACATTTCTCTGTTCAAATAACTAGTATAGTTTCTGTCTGCTAACTAACCCACAACTGATATATCTTTCTATTGACCTGTGGTCATTTCCCCCACTATATGCCATATTTTTGCTTTGGGTATTTATCCAAGATTCGACCCTATATCCTGGAATAAAGTTTCAGTTCCATATGGAATGTTCATGTGGAAAATTCCCAACGTCTTCAACTCCAAATCTGTACCTTATTGGTACTTTAACTATAACATACTCTGATCACAAGTTCCTTTGCTTCTCGTCCTCATACCCTCACTCTGACTGAAATCTATTCTCTGAGTCTACCAGCCAGCTGAGCACTTCTAAGAAAATCTCACAATCACACAGATTGAACAGTCCCCAATTTTAGCAGGACTTCCAGGTCACTAACATTTCTTTTATTTGCCTTTAAAGGTCAGCTCTCCTTCCCTTTCCCATAGAATATTAAACCAAATCATCGTTCCTTGCCTCAAACCCTAATGTCATTTTAGCAAAATGAATTAATGTCACATCACCAGAAAATTAAATGCCAAGAGCAACCAAAACCTCTGCAACTTCCTGGCCAAGCACAATGGCTCATGCCATAGTCCCAGCTACTCAAGAGGCTAAGGTGGGAAGATGGCTTGATCCCAGGAGTTTGAGGCCAGCCTGGGGAACATAGCCAGACCCCATCTCTTAAAAATAAAAACAAACAAAAATACTCCTGGCAACTTCCTGAACTCTCCCCTAAAATCTACCCAATAGAAATTAAAACGTATATCCACATACAGACTTATTCATATATGTGTTTATAGTGGTATTATTCATGACAAACCAAAACATTATAAGCTTAAGCTCAAATGTTTATCATATGGTGAATGGATAAACAAATGTGGTATAGCCATACAATGAAATTGCATTCAGCAGTAAAAAGGGGAAAGAACTACAGATATATACTATAACATTCATACTAAACATGGATGGACCCCAAAAAGAGTATGGTGTGTGAAAAAAACCTGAT